GCCGGCGCTCTCCGGAGCCCACGGTGGGTCCGGCCCTCACCGTCCTCTCGAGACGAAGAATCATCGAAGCCCGCGGGGCTGAGGAAGCCCAGTCCTAGCCCTGGCGCCGGCCTCCGCAGCGCCGCCCAGGCCTGGGAACCCCTCCTTGGTTTCTTGCTTTCTGTCCTGGGTGTAGTCGAGATCTGAACGGGAGCGAAGGCCTGATGGTCCGGAGCAAGAGACCCAGGCGTCCGGGTCACATGATTTTACAGCATGAGTTCTGCTTTCGGGCCTGAGAAAAAGAGAAGCCCCACAGTGACACAGCTCGCTGAAGGCCCCCGAGGGGGCCCACAACCCTGTCTTGGACAGCCGGCCTCGCCGGCAGAAAGCCGGGCTGTTTCTAGCCCACACGGCCTGTGAAGAAACCAAACAGCCCAGACCTGCCCGATACCCTGCTCGTGGCACAGATCTGAAGCCCGACTGTGATGACACACCTCAACCATCCTTTCCCTCCTGTGCCAGGAACCACCAGAGCCTGCGGCTGGGATCGGGGTCACCCTCCACCAGCCACAGGGCAGGAACAGCTGGAGGAAGGGGCCGAGGAGCTCCACAGCTGGCGTTTGGGTGACCGAGCTCCAGTCCGTGTAGCCCAAAACCACCTGCGTCAGCAGCTCCTCACTGAACGCCAGAGCAGACAGGGCTCTTTGTGTTGCTCCACCCCAGGCACCCATATCCATCGCCTTCGGAGTTTCTTCCACCCTTGCCACAGCCTCAGGCAGCCCCCTGGCTTGTCAGGGACCGGGGTGACCTTCCCCGGGTGCTCTGTGCGAGCCCTGACCGCATGGAGAAAGCGGCACTCACAGTTTTGTAGAAGGCTTTCGACTGTGCCCCGAGCACTTCCGATTTGGATACCAAGTCATCCAGCTTCTCCCCTCGCTCCAACAGTGACTCCATGGTGTTGTGCTGCCAAAAGAAACCAGCCCTGGGTTGCGGCGCTGGCGCTCACCGCTCCTTCCCCGGGGTCCGAGCGAAACGCAGACAGGCCACCACGTCCACGTGGGCATGGGAGGAGACCGGCCTTGGCTTTCCGCCGGCCACCCCAGCTCTGCTGCCAGCTCCTCGCGCGCCCACCCGGGGAGGCGAGAAAGCTCCCACGGCACCAGGTCCAGGTGAGAAAAAACCCCCGATTTTCCTGACCGAGAAATGGAGAACCCGGAGAGAAGAAAAGGACAAAAGAGCTTGGGAGGGTCTGGGGGCTCGAGACAGCGCCAGAGCCTGGCGGGAGGAAGAGGCAGTTTGAGGGTCTTTCCACAGGCAGCAAGAGCGGAAACCGCCAACGAGGAACATTTCCTCCACGCGGAGACGGCGCAGGAGGAACAAGGGAAGCCCAGAGAGGGGACGGCCACGGAAAGAAAAGGGGAAAGGAGCTGTTCTGCAGAGACAGGACAAAAAAAGACAGATCTTCTCAACCTCTGGAGGCTGCAGAAGATCTTGACTTCAGTCCATGCTCCAACCCTGCTGCAGGTCCCCCAGTAGGAACAGCCGAACCACCCAGGAGAGCCACCCTACTCCCAAGCATCCCAAAAGGGTGTCCTGCCTGGCACAATTCACAGCTCCGCGAGCCCAGCACCCTCCCGTGCGCCGTCCTCACCAGGATGATTTTGGTCTCGTCCAGTTCCGCCTGCACCCTGGTCATCGGGTCTGCCTCGCGGGGGTTCTCGGAGAGAAACAACACGGCTCAGCACCACCGCGGCGGGGACGGTGTCCCCTGCGCTCCACCATGCCACGGCCCCAGCCCAGCACGTGCCGGTTCTTCCCCATGCAGCGTCCGGCCGAGCGCGGTGTTCTCCCCCGTGCGGTGTCTGACTCAGACAGGCAAACAGCCTGTACGCCACGGCAGGAGAGTCAGGTGGAGCAACCACAGAGCCATCTCGGTGGCAAGCAGCCCACCACGTACCCAACTATTTTTACTATGCCGGGCCAGTGGTCTCCTCCTCACACCCCGTGGAGGCAGGCAGGCCACGCTCCTCCTCGGCCAGGCTGGGGGCTGCGTGGATGCTACAGGCAAGATATCGCTGCGGAAGCGCAAAGCCCAGGCCAGCGAAAATGGCTAATGCTTCAGCCTCCGCTCCTCCAGGCCTCCTCACCACCACCGCACAGAGCGTTTCTCACCCTCTGTACCAGCATCCCTCTCCCTGCCACCAGGCAGGGCACCCGGTGGGTGCTGTACCTGGTATTTACTGAGGTAACCGTCCAAGGCTGTGTAGTTAATTGTCGCCGGGGATCCTGAAGGCCAGTCTATTTTGCTGACCTGCCTGGAGAACTCATCCAGCACCTGCAAAAGAAGGAAGCACGCAGTTACCTGCCCGGCATTTTTGCCTGCAGGGGCTGGAGGCCATGGCTGTCAGAGAGGATTTTTCTCCTTGACAAGCCCTTTTGAACGAGCCAAAAGGGAGGACAGCAGCCAACTTCCTGTCAAAGGAACGACTGATGCTTCAGCGCTCACGCCAGCTAGAGGTGAATACGCAGGATACAGACTGCACCCAAAGCCCTAGATCTTTCCAAGGTGGCCAGACACATAATAATCAGTCTCCGGAAACGCTGGGAGCGCAGACGCACCGAGGAGTTTTCCTGCACAAAACCCAAACCAGACGGTGAGGACAGGGTGCTCGCGAGGCCAACGCCTGGGCAAACAACAGAGCAGAGCCAGGTGGCTCCAATCCAGCTGGCCAAAGCAAAGCTGGACCACTGCATTGCCTGGCCTAGGAGAAGTCTTTAGGCTAGCCAGACCTTGCTCGGCTCAGCTCTTGATGTCTCCCAGCAAACAAGCAGGGAGGATCATTTCCCTGTCCCAGAGTAACCGAGATCTGGAAGAAATGCCCCCAAAATCCGCATGCAGCCCCGACTGTGCAGATCGTCCCCTCCCGAGCTGCGCCTGGCCCGCGTGCTCACCTTGTCCAGCAAGGTGAAGCAAACCCGCTGCGGGTACTCGTTATCGGCAATCACCACTCCGGCCAGCCCGTCGTTCCGGACGTACACGTGGCAGAGGTATTCTGGGCAGAGAGTTTGTGTCAGATAGGCAGCGGGAAGGTCCAGAGCCCTCCCCGAGCCCCCTCCTCCTCCTGCGCAGCCCCAAGAGCTCTTCCACACGCAGTGAACCGCACCGGAAGGTTTCCATTCAGCAGCAGGATTTCACATGATTTCATTAGGATAGCAGACAGGCTCCAGGGAGGATTAAGATCAGCCTAAAATTGTGCTTCAGCAAGTCGTGGCCCGCTGGCCAGCCACGCGGTGCTGGACGTGAAGCTAACTTTCCAGGGCAGCAAGTACTACCAGAGTTGTATAAAAATAGAGAGGAAGCATCCAGCTTGATTTTAATACATAACAACTAGCAGGGAGCAGGAGTGTTATTAAAGAGGCTGCAGCTGGCAGCT